AAAGAGGCAGAGATCGGAAGAAAGGTGGAAGAAAATATGAAGCGTCCTCCGTTCAAGAACCGCAGGAGGGAAAGAAGTGGTGCGACTGGCACCAAATTACCACCCATGACACCACAGAGTGTAGAGAGTTCAAGGCCACACTCAGACACCTGGCCCCGGGAGACCTAAGAAGCAAGCTGGAGACAAGACGGTCTCACAGAGAGCATTCAGCCGGAGAGCGGGAAGAATCGCCGAGTCCCGAACAAGACAAGACGAGACGGATAAGGAAGGAAAGATCAAGGTCCCGCTCTCGTAATAAGGTCGCCTCCCCTCTGAGGCAGTCGCCCCCCTACAGAGCCCCCCGGAACGACGATGACGGAATGGAAGTCATAACAATCGCAGGAGGCCGAAAACGCCCAAGAACCGAAGGAGACCGCATCGCCCAGTGCCTTAACGTGCATCGCAGAGCCCCGATAGAGGTTGCCTTCCTGCCCTCTGAGTTGGCCAACGAAGAAAGCTCGGAAGACCCTTTGGTCATCTCCTTCCGAACCGCCAAGTTCAAAATCACAAGAGCCTTAGTTGACAATGGGAGCTCAGCGGATATACTATTCTACTTGGCGCTCAAGGGAATGAAGAAAACCGTCCAAGACCTTCAACCCTCCAACACCAACTTGGTAGGCTTTTCAGGAGCCAAAGTTCGCGTCCTCGGCTCCATCACCCTCAAAGTCACTATAGGAGAGGGCGGGGTTACAAAGACCCGCCCGGTGGAATTCCACGTCGCGGACTGTCCCTCCGCCTACAATGCCATTTTAGGACGCGGCTTCCTCGCAACTTTCGAGGCGGTCGCCTCGACCTGCCATCAAATGCTGAAGTTCCCAAGTGGGAGCCTCACGGGTCGCGTCCGAGGTAACCCCAAGGACGCCAAGGAGTGCTACCAGGCGACGATCGAACATTTGGAGGTCGACCTAGTCGACGCGAGAGACGACGTGCCCCGCCCGGAGGCGGCTGAGGGCGATGTGGCGGTCCCTCTCAACGGAGAGGAGCCAAGCAAAACCGTGCGCATCTCGGCCCACTTGGCCAACGAGGAAGCTCAGAAACTGCTAACCCTCCTCCGAGAATTTCAGGACCTCTTCGCATGGGGTCCGGAAGACATGCCCGGCGTCCCCCACCGAATCTCTGAGCACCGACTCTCCGTCAAGCCTAAAGCAAAGCCAATACAGCAGCGGAGGAGACACTTGTCAGTGGAAAAACAAATGGCACTCGAAGAGGAAATAAGGCGCCTCCTAAAAGCCGGCTTCATACGAGAAGTACAATATCCTACATGGCTCTCGAACCCCGTCTTCGTGCGAAAGGCCGGGGGCACCTGGAGGATGTGCATCGACTTCACCAGCCTCAATGCGGCGTGTCCCAAGGACGCATATCCACTTCCCCGCATCGACCAACTTATAGATGGGACCGCCAACCATGAAGCGCTCAGCTTCCTGGATATGTTCTCAGGCTACCACCAAATCAAGATGGCGGAGGACGACCAAGAGCTAACCGCATTCATGACACCCATGGGTAACTTTTCCTACGTGGTAATGCCGTTCGGATTGAAAAATGTGGGAGCGACCTATCAAAGGATGGTCGATGCAGTCTTCAAGGACCAGATGGGAAGAAATGTGGAGGCCTACGTAGACGATGTCCTAGTCAAAAGCAAAAAAGCCGGCGACCACCTCTCCGACTTAAGGGAAACCTTCGAGACCATGCGGCAGAAAAACCTAAGGCTCAATCCACTCAAGTGTGTATTCGGAGCCGAAGCTGGGAAGTTCCTCGGCTTCATGATCACGAAACGAGGAATAGAAGCTAACCCGAAACAGATAGAAGCCATCCGCGGCCTGAAACCGCCTAAGACGATCAAGGAAATTCAGGCATTCAACGGCAAGATGGCCGCGCTTGGGAGGTTCATCCCACGGTCGGCGGATAAGTGCTCACCATTTTTTCAAATGCTCAGAAAGTCAGCCTCAAAGCTCAAGTGGAGTGCCGAGTGCGACCAGGCATTCGCCCTACTGACGAGCCAGCTAAGTTCACCCCCAGTGTTGAGCGCCCCCATGAGCGGAGAGCGACTCTACCTTTACCTAGCGGTCTCCGATCGGGCCGTGAGCTCCGTCCTGGTGCGAAGGGAGAAAGACGGTTCCGACCAGCCGGTGTACTATGTAAGCAAAGCTCTCCTCCCCGCCGAGACGAGATACATGCCCGTCGAGAAGGCGGTCCTTGCGGTAGCTTCAGCAGCAAGGAAGCTAAGGCCATACTTCCAGGAGCACCCCATCACCGTACTGACTAACCTCCCCCTCAAAAGCGTCATGCGTGGCATGGACGCTTCCGGGAGGTTGACGAAGTGGGCAATTGAACTCAGCGAGTTCGACATAGAGTACGCTCCAAGACCAGCTATCAAGGCCCAAGTGTTGGCCGACTTCATCACCGAAGGGTTCTCAATGGAAGGCGTCCCCTCCGAAGAGAGTAATCACATTTGGAGGCTATTCATCGACGGGGCAACAGGAAAAAACGCCTCCGGAGCCGGAATAGTCATTGAATCGCCGGACGGAGTCATCCATGAAATCTCTCTGCGATTCAAAGACATCAAAACAAACAACGTCGCTGAGTACGAAGCCCTCATCAACGGACTCCGCATACTCAGCACCCTGGGCGCTTCCGATGTACACATATACTCAGACTCTCTCCTAGTAGTCAAACAAGTGCATGAAGCGTTCGAAGTCAAGGATGGGAAGCTAGCCCTCCTCGCCACCCAAGTGCGGAGCGCTCTCGCGCAGCTAAACTCTTGGAAGCTGGAACACGTGCGACGGGAAGACAATCAGCATGCCGACGCACTTTCCAAGCTGGCCACCGCGTTGGACTTCGAAGGCGATCGCCATGTCACCGTCACCAAGGAAAAGGACCAACAAGAGGAGATCATGAGCGTGGAAGAAGCGATCGATTGGAGGACCCCCCTGATTCAATACCTGGAATAGGATACCACTCCCTCGCACCCAAGCGAACGTAGGACGCTTCAACGCAAGGCGGCTCGATACTCCATGGTGAACGGACAGTTGTGCAAGAGATCATTTTCGGGTGCATACCTGAAATGCCTAGGCCCTGAAGAGGCGCGGTGGACGTTAAAAGCAATACACCAAGGAACGTGCGCCACTCACGCGGGACCAAGGTCGCTCGAAAGAACCGTCCTCTTGCAAGGATACTACTGGCCGACTATCAAGAGAGACGCCTCCGACGTCGTCTTAAAGTGCCACGCCTGCCAAGTACATGCTTCCAAACACCACATGCCCGGCTCCGAGCTGCAAAGCGTAGTCGGGCCATGGCCGTTCGCCATGTGGGGACTTGATCTCTTGGGACCCTTTCCCACCACCCCGCTGGGGAAGAAGTACTTGGTCGTGGCGGTTGACTACTTTACAAAGTGGATTGAAGCGGAGCCGCTCGAGACCATCACCAGCGCTCGAGTCCAGAAATTCGTATTCAACAACATCATGATCCGGTTTGGTATTCCACACTCCATTGTTACTGATCATGGTACACAATTTGACTGTCGCCCGTTTGAAAATTTCTGCGCCAGGAACCGCATTACTTGCACGATGGCCTCTGTGGCATACCCCCAAACAAACGGTCAGGCCGAGGCGTCCAACAAGCTGATCCTCCAGGGGCTCAAGAAGCGACTAAGGGACGCCAAAGGGGCATGGGTGAGCGAACTGCCACACGTCCTATGGGCACATCGCACGACCCACAAGACCGCCACGGGAGAAACCCCATTTGCTCTGACCTATGGCTCCGAGGCGGTCGCACCCGAAGAACTGAACCTCCCTTCCCTTCGCGTTCAAGCATACAACCCAGAGACCAATCACCAAAGGCTCTTGAATCAGTTGGATATGATCGAGTCTCGACGGGACGCGGCTCTGGAACGCATCCTCAGTGAGAAAGCCAAGGTAGCAGCCACCTACAACAAGAAAGTGAAATCCCGTCCTCTCAACGAAGGAGATATGGTGCTTAAAAGAGACTTCCAGAAGAAGGATGAGCACGGCAAACTGGCTGCCACATGGGAGGGCCCATTCCTCATTGGAGAAAAGACGGGTCCCAACACCTTTAGACTTGCCACCATGCGAGGCGACCCAATCTCCAAAACTTGGAATGGAATGCACCTAAGGAAGTATTACTCAGAAGCAATCTAGGACATACTAATACTACTGCAAGGACACTTTAGTGGTTCAGGGAATCTCCCACCACTTGTAATCGTGTAGTGGTTGCCTACCGGTAACCTCTTTTGTTCAGGGCTAGCCTAGTGGATCAGGAACTCTCCTCCCACTCAAAACAGTGTATCGGTCGCTACTAAGTGACCGCTTTTGCTCATCAGTAATACACTTATCTTTTTCAATGATCAGAATTCAAATTCTCACAGTCGCATAAAACCGCACAACATGCAAAGGAATCGGCCCACAGAGCGCGAACTAATTCGTATACGCCTAAACTTACGAATAGGCAATAATCACACTAAGGCCCATAGAGGCCGCTGCACACGCCAAGCAGCCACCGGACCCAAAACAAGTTCGAGTTACTTAAAATCTTGATAAGTAAAAGCAAGGCGCACAAGGAGAATCGCTCCAACGCGGTTCCGAACCGACTGTCCGAAACATAAGGAAAAGCTGCGCTAACGCGGTTACATGCATTGGCAGATCCTCACTCATTCCCTTCACAACCTCCGCACAAGGGAAATGATCAAAACAAAAGTCCGACTGACTCGGAGTCACACCACTTCCGCACATAAACAATATCACCAAACGAAGGATAAGAACAGCCATGCGAACACAAAACCGTCCCAACACGGTTTGTCGACATCTGTTCTCCAAAACAACATAAACCCGCCGCCGGCGGTTCAACCGACATACCCACTTGAAAATGAAAAATAAAAAACCCGCCATATGCGGTTCGACAAACACGTCCAAAATAACATAAGTGTTTCAGACAAAGTTGAGATGGAATCAAATTCTTGGCGAGCCACCACTGGTCGCATCTCCTCCCTCGGCGGCCGCTTCCCCACCTTCTGCTTCCTCCTCTTCAGACTCATGCGCCTCCGAATTCACGTCCGAAGACGACCATTGTCCAATCGCATCCCACACGCGGTCAGAGTCCCAGCCAATGTCAGGACATTCCTCGCGAAAGAGGTGACGAACGGCGGCCACCACGTTGCCCACCACGGCCTTATACTTCGCTTTGTCCTGAGCAATGAACTCGGCAGATTGCAAGTAGGCGGCCCCGGCTTCAGCCCGGGCGGCGGTCACCTCCGCCTCATGAGTCGCCAGCAAGGCCGTCTTCTCTAACCGGAGCTCCTCCACCTTCTTACGCAAAACATCCTGCTCCTCAAGCAGTGTCTTCTCAATCTCACCAGACCTTAGCAACTCTTCTTGAAGACGATCTTTCTCCGTCCGAACCGCCTTAGACACCTCCTTCTCATCTAGCAAGGCCTTATCCTTTTGAGCCAGCCGCTCCTCGATAGTCTTCTCAATTTGCGGGCGCAGCTCCTCCATCAGGGCCGCCCTTCCTTCCTCCGCACTCTTCTTCAGGTTCGCTATCTCGACCGCGTTGTCATCAACGGTCTTAGAGAGGCGGTCGTTCAGAAGGATGATTTGGGAAAACCCAATCTGTGCCTGCAAAGCCACCAAACGAGCGGTCAGTAAAAAATCATGGAATGAACAAGAAGAAGTTTGGAACACTAACCCCAAAGAAAAGCTGCGACGCGGTCCCGGCCAGTCGGCGGTTACTTCCCTGGGAAGAAGGTGTGTACTGATTCGGCATCACCAGCTGATCACTGATGGTGTGGAAAGCCAGTTCAGCCGCCTCGGTATCTGTAGCCGCCAAAGGGGGAACCTCCACAAGGCTCGGTCTGTCAGACCGCTTCGCACCCTTCGCACGCCTGTCATCCCCCTTCGGAGAAGAGGCACGAACCTTAGCACGCTTCACAGCAACCTCTGCGGTCTCTGGGAGAAGCAATCTCTTCCCCGCCCCCTGAGGCATCGCAGCACCCGCGCCGCCAGCAGCGCTAGGTGAGTCACCTTCAGGGTGGTTTGGAGAAACCGCCTGACGGTCAGGCGTGGCTGCTACACCAGCGGCGGACGAGCTCCCGGCACGAGCGGTCTTCGCAGCAACACTCTTCATAACCTTCTTCCTTCGTGGCCTGTTGGCATCTGCCAGCTCCCGTAGACCTGAAGAATAAAAGCATAAGTGGAATACATGAGAAAGATAGACAGCAAAGACAAAAAGTGCACTACTAACCGTAAAAACCGCGGACAAGTTGATAGGCGCTGTCAGAGCCACTATGCTTGACACGCAACTGAACCGCCTCCACAATGCGGTCTACATGATCTATCACGGACTGGGGAAACTGACTAGATTCACACCAATCATCTTTGCAGCCAACCGCATAACCCGTAAGCGGTTCCGAATCACCTGCATACCACTTCCAGGACGGCTTGGCGAAAAAATACTCTCTATACCATGGGGAGTCCAACTTGGGCGCCCCAGTGATGAACCCAACCGCGTTCTCCCTTCTCCCAATCGACCAACAGTTAGGCGAGTCCCAGATGTTGTAAATCAATCTGAAGGCATCAAATGACGGCTCCTCCTTGATGCGGCTGCAGGCCAGACGATACATCACTGAGTGGAAAATGATCGTGGGGGAAAGCCGCCCCAGAGTGCAATTCAACCAATGAAGAGTCTTGGTCAAAATAGGATCAAGCGGGAACCGCAGACCCAACTTCACATGCTCCACCAGGATCGGAATCCAACCGCTGGGGCAGGACCCAGAGCGGCTGACCTGAGACGGAGCCGCATACTGCCACTCCGGGGGCATGCGAAGCACCTTCAGTCGATGTAACACCTGCTCCGGCCTGAAGACCGCCCCAGAGCTCTTCGGCCCCTACTCAAACACCTCCGAGGGAATGGGCTCTCCTCCCCACATCACAGCATGGCGCAAGATAGTATAAACTGAGTCATGAATAGCTACCGGGAGCGGTCCGGGGTCGCCTGACTCCGACACCTCCAAAGACGAGGAAGTGCTAAGGGAAACCTCCGAGCGTTCGCCACCACTGCTTACCTCAACATCCTCCTCCAATGAAACACTATCTAAATCTACCCGGTCAAATTCACCCAAATTATCCCCCATAGCGGATGACGTGGCCACAACCCCAACTGGTACAGGGCGCATGTTAGAACAATCGTTATCCAAGTCCACACAATCCCCGAATAAACAATCGTCTAATTCGGTAGCACTTCCAACATATAACTCTATCACAGACAAATCCCACACGCACTCGGATGGATTTCGAATGGGTGAAAAACAGTTCGTACCTTGGGAAGCGAAAGCGGTCGCAGTAGCGCCCGAAGGCTTCTTCCCCGATGGCGGGACCGCCGATGGCGCAGCAGAACTTGAGGGCTCCTTCTCGAGAATTACCACAGGGGGAGACCCAGAGGCCGGGGAACTCACATGGACAGTAGCACCGTGTGCGCCGCCCCCGGACGGCGAAGGCGAAGCCCCTCCAGACATCTGCGACGACAAAAGAATCGGCGGCCGACGACGGCGGCGCGATTCAAGAGAAATAGAGAAGAAAGTCGGAGGGCTGATCCGAAAGAACAACGCGGCTCGAGTCGCTAAACAAAGATGAGGGAAAGAGATTACCTGGTTCGCCGATCGAACTTTATAAGGCCCGCCGATCACAAGCTCTGCACAGCTCACAGGAGAAGGGGCAAGGAAGAAGACGAACGGTTTCTAAAACAAGGAGAAGATTTGGCGGAAAAAACCCATTCCCCACGAATTTAAAGCGAAAAAGGGGAAAATCAAAATCCCGAGGTGACACGGCCCGCGCGCCGAGGCCCTAAGATGACGTTTTGCCTCCTGATGTCAGGGCTCCGCGCCCGAAAACTGACACGTCCCAGAAAAAGCAACAGAGGACGGGAACCGCCAAAGATTCCCTCTTCGCAACCGTCACTTCGGGTCGCCAAGACCGAAACCGAGCACAAAACCATGAGGAAAGCGGTCCAGACGCGCTTTGCGACAAAAACAGGGAGTACAACACGAACGCAGCCGCCCCTCAGGCGATCCCGCTCTAAGCCCTCGCGGCCAGGGGCAGAACAGGCAGTCATGGGCAGGACGGCCCTAAACCGCTTCATAAAGGCAAAGAGTGGTTAGCCGCGAGAGCCTAAAGCCTCCCACGCCTAAGGGGCAAATGTTAGGCCAGCGGTTAAGACTTATGGGCCTCAAGCCCATGACTCGCCAAAAAGCCCACCAGGCAATTAAGTCTAGCCCAAATGGACACAAAAGGCGGTCTACCCCGGGGCAAATGACCCTAAAGGACGCCCGACACCCCTGCAACGTGACCTCAGGGAACCGCCCGACAGGTGAGACGGGTATTCTCTGAACACTTGGTACGGAGTCTGTCAAAAGTACAAACCTGACAGTCTCAGGGGATCAGGGTTCAGGCGGTCCGAGACCGCCCGACATAGCATTAAATGCCCTGGTCCCCGACCCTCGCTAGTATAAATACTCTTCTCGGATCACATTAATGGTAACTTCTACCCACTCGATTCTCTCTCTTATTCACTCTTATTTCCACTTCTCTCTCTAATTTAAGCATCGGAGGAGGTCCCGGGAACCCCCCGAGGACCTTGTTGCAGGATTTCGGAGACCGCCCTCGACCATCGAAGCCGCCCAAGGCCAGTGGAGTCTCACAAACCGCTTGGGACAATCCAAGCACAAACAGGTTCATTGAACAAAAAACATTAATCAAGTTGGTCTATCTACAATAGAAGTGTGAACGGATCTGATGAATACACATGCTGCACATAACTTGCATGACACTCAAGGACGTAAGGTGTGACGCTAATCAAGTTAATTACGATATGCAATATTCATTTCACAAAGAACCATATATAACAACCAAATATTGCATCTCATCGATTATGCATCATCCCTCTGGATCTGCCTTGCCTCTGTTGGTATATACAACAACACGCATCCTGCATGACCCTCCAAACTAAAGCCAAGACGACAACAAACTAACTACCCACATGTACATGTTTTAATCAGTTACGCTGCCAAGTACTCTTCCTCAGCTGGTAGTGACATATATATATATATATATATCTGGACTTGGGACTTGGCTTAGTTGAAATCCATCAGCCTCCCACATTCATCCACACAGCTAGCGCGGAACTTGTTTCCACCAATATAATTAAGGAAATTACTCTCTAAGAAAAACAAACAGATCATCAAAAGATGAAGACCGCCGCCGTGTTCTCCATAATGTTCCTTGTTAGCATGCTGCTTCCAATGGTAGCACCCGAGGACGACTCCACCTCCGAACAAGACGTGTACATTGTGTACACCGGCGGTGCCAACCCCGCAAATTTGGCAGTAAAGGAATCGTTGATCAACAGGGTCCTTGTCAGGTTGGTTAGTAGTGATACTTATAGCTCGAATTATATTATTTGTTCATTTGACGAATTGGAGGCTTTAATTTGGTACTTGATTACTGATTTTTTCTTTCTTCCCCTTAAATAAAATCTTTAATGGTAAGGAAAAATCTTTTTGACATGGTTACTACGTACCAACACGGGCTGGCCGGCTTCGCCGCACGGATGTCGTCGTCGGAGGCCATGTTCATCTCCCAGCAACCAGGCGTCTTGTCTGTTTTCAAAGATTCATACTTGAAGCCTTTGACGACGCGGTCTTGGGACTTCCTCGGGGAACCAGCACCACCATTCGCAGGCTTTGAGGACATCGTCCCTGCCTCCTCGGAGGTAGTGATTGGCTTCATCGACACCGGCATCTGGCCGGAGTCCCCGAGTTTTCTGGTTGGCAACGGGAGCAGAGCCCCGCCGGCGGATTGGAAGGGAATATGCGAAACGGCGAAAGATTTCAACAGCAGCGCATGCAACGGGTAAGGAAATAAAAAACAAAGAATAATATATAGGATAAAAAAATTCATTCTTCTAATTCATAATAATTAACAAATTTTGTTGGCGGTTGGTTCTATTATTGAATAAAACGTAATGGCGCTTTGCTTTGCGAAAAAATGCAAATCAAGTTGTTTTTTTTAATTTTTTCCCCGATAATTAGGAAAATTGTGGGAGCACGATCCTACGTACATGGGAGTAGCGCAAGAGATATCGATGGCCATGGTTCACATGTCGCTTCAACCGCCGCTGGAATGGCGGTCAAAGCATCGTACCACGGCTTCGCGGCCGGGACGGCCCGAGGGGGTTCAGAGTCCTCAAGAATTGCGGTGTACAAGGCCTGCTGTTGCGGTTATTTAAACCGTGTTACTATTGGGCCTTGTTGGGCCTTGTCCGAGTTGTAGTAGGTACGAATATGTGGCCGTACTCGACTCTTCTCATTAGGGTTTTAACCCTAGTCTATCTCTATATAAGCTTAGCTACGAGATTGTCGTAAGCAAGCCGTCACAATGTAGTCCCATAATAAAATCGTCAGCCGTGAGCTCGTTTCGAGCTCACCGTGGATTAGTCTCGATCAATCAAGATCGAGGATACCACGTAAAATCTTGTGTTCTCGTGTTATTTCGTATTTCCGCATCATCAAATTCTACATGGTATCAGAGCAAACTCGATCCCTTGTCTAGGGTTTCGAGCTTCCGCAGTCAGCATCAGTTGCCTCTCCGGCAACATCGACGTCATCAGTTCAACGTCTGTCGTCTTTGCAATCGTCCGGCGGTAAGCAAGAATAGAAGCCGCGGAAGTCGGTTTCTTCTAGTCTCCGTCAAGGCCCACAATTGAGGCTTGTTTTCGGTCATCTCAGCCTTGCATCAGCGATGCTCGTGTTTCAGATCCGCCGTCGAGTCTGTCAAAATCCGGCAAAGCTGGCGTCCCGTCGATTCTTCCGCAATCATAGGCGAAGTCCATCCCGCCATCGATAACGAGATCTCCAGTCCTAAGCCATCGCCATCGACTGTGCTCCTATTACCGATCGTCATCACCATAGAGCGCCGCTGACCCCGATGGTGAATCGAGTGTCGCGCCCATCGTCCGACTTCACCATCGTCGTCCTTGTCGTTGTTGGCCGGCATCATCGACAGAATCCGAGTGAAGGCCGTCGTCAGCGGCCAATTCAGTACCAAGAGTTTTCTTACTGTCGAAGTCAATTTCATTAAGTCAAGGAGGTTTCTTACTGTCGACGGGACTTCAATCAACTTGTCAAGAATCACGACAGTTCATAATCGCCGACCAATCAAGTCAATCAGTGCACTAACTACAGCCGACAAATCATGCTTCCATCACTAGCAATCCATCTCGTTTCATCGTCAAACAGTGGCCTGGTTTTCTCTGTGATGTCGCCTTATATTAGCATCCTCGCTAGGCGTGTCCTGTTGGATAAGAAGTGTCGTCGTCCTGAATTCTTCTCATCTTTGCGGCCAAGTTTCCAGAAGCTTATGTTGTTCGGTTGGGTTAACTAAGGTTGGTGGGAGTCCGGTGGGTAAAGAAATTACATTGTCATCATCCCTCCTGTCTTGTGTTCGTGGCTTCCATCCTAAAGCTTGCCTATTCTTCATCAGTCATGGTCTCGACCACATTGATCAATCAACAACCAATTTTTGTCATGCCACCATCAAGATCACAAAGTCGCCATCATCAGGAGATCAAATTTTGTGCTTTGATGGAGATAAAGGGGACTTTCTTTTCCCCGGCTTGAAGTTTGCCACAAATTGGCCGTCAGCTCTACGTTGTGGTCGAAAAAGCCCTTATGGGCTCCCATATCTGATTTAGTAAGAGTTTTATGTGCTCTTCAGTTAGATTTTTGGTCAATTATTTTGTTTGCAGGCTTTTGCTAGCAAAGATAGACAAGTATCGATCGAGGCATTCACGATTCATTAAATGATCGTCCCCTCGCGTTCAAAAGGTAGTACGATCAGATAAGTCATCGTCCCTTCATCGTCCAGCTGGCATTCACGATCTAAGAAATGGTCGTCCCCTCTTCCGGTTCAGTATTGGGCACATATCAACCATTCATCGCTTTTCAAGCTGGGCATTCACGATGTTCATGCTCCATCTTGAGGGGGAGAATAGGAGGTCAACATACGTCGGTCGACTAACTCAGTCATCAGGTCGCCCGCAATGTACCAAGTGTATTCAAGATTAAGAGACTCAATCAATCGTCTCCATCGTCAGGTTGTTCATAGAGACTCAGTCGTCTTCAATCAACCTTATCCGAGATGTTATTCATCTCGAGTTTTGTGATTCAAGCCATCATGCTTGTTCTTCACATTTACTTCTTAAAGCTCGACATTCTTGTCATTCATGTCTTCGCTTGAGGGGGAGTGTTGCGGTTACTTGAACCGTGTTACTATTGGGCCTTGTTGGGCCTTGTCCGAGTTGTAGTAGGTACGAATATGTGGCCGTACTCGACTCTTCTCATTAGGGTTTTAACCCTAGTCTATCTCTATATAAGCTTAGCTACGAGATTGTCGTAAGCAAGCCGTCACAATGTAGTCCCATAATAAAATCGTCAGCCGTGAGCTCGTTTCGAGCTCACCGTGGATTAGTCTCGATCAATCAAGATCGAGGATACCACGTAAAATCTTGTGTTCTCGGGTTATTTCGTATTTCCGCATCATCAAATTCTACACCTGCGGCCACGAAGGGTGTAAGTCATCGGCCATACTGAAGGCTTTCGACGACGCCATTTCCGACGGCGTCAGGGTCATATCCGCTTCCATCGGCTCTGACGAGACGGACGACCCTATCGATCCCCTCGACTACTTACTCAAAGACCCTGTGATGCTGGGGGCCTTCCACGCCGTGGAAAGAGGGATTACTGTAGTTTGCGCCGCCGGAAACCGTGGCCCGCTCCCGGGGACCGTGCTTAACGATGAGCCGTGGACTATAACAGTGGCGGCCGCAACAATAGACCGAGATTTCCGCGCCAATGTCCTGTTGGGTAGCGGCACAATCATCAAGGTACGTACGTAGATTATTTATGATTAATTAATATCTTCTTTTAATTTACTATCGGTTGTTAATTATCTACTAATTAAAGTTCCTTATTATTATTATTATTATTATTATTATTATTATTTGTTTGTTAATAAATGTACACAGGGCGAAGGGATCGTGTTTCACAGGCTGAATGGGTCGGCCATTCACCCACTGACCTCCGGTGAGGCAGCCAAGGAAAGGAAGGCCACCAATCACGCAGCCAGGTGGGTCTTTATTTACTTAATTAATTTGGTCTCTTGTTTTTAATTACAATAATACCCAACTAATTTAATATTAATTAATCGATTACAGGGATTGTCAGACGGGTTCGCTGAGTCTGTCGAGAGTTGAAGGGAAAGTTGTGTTTTGTGAGACCAGAGATAAAAAGACCGCCTTGGACCTACAAGTATACGAGGTAATGAATAATGGCGGGTTGGGAATCATTATAGAGAACGACTTCTTGAAGAGAGTGGCAAACTACTATGGGGGCTTCAATTTCGCTGTGACTGTGATCAGCACAAAAGAAAGTTTGAAGCTAAAGGACTACTTGAAATCTACCAAGTAAGGGAGGGGAAAAGACGGCCAAATTATTCATAAAAAAAACAGGCCAAATTAAATTAAGAATTAATTTTTTTTATTACTCAATTAATTATCTTAGTAACTGAAAATAATTAATTAAATCAATAATTCAGGAAACCAATAGCTAAAATTCTTGCAACCGTGCAAATTGGCAACTACAAGCCAGCTCCTGAAGTGGCTTTTTTCTCATCTGCGGGACCGTCAGCAAGCTCGGTAAACATCGTCAAGGCAAGTTAACTTCCTTTCTTCTTTCTTACCATTGTTGTTTTGTTTTTTTTTTCACGCTGTTTATTTATTTATTTTTTTAAAAAACAATATTGGCTCATTTGTATTAACATATTGCAGCCCGATATAACGGCACCGGGGGACGGGGGTGGACATTCTCGCCGCGTGGTCGAGCGACGAAAGTTTCACCGAGGCCAGCGATAGAGGCTACACGATAGATTCCGGCACGTCCATGGCTTGCCCTCACGTCTCCGGCGTGGCGGCAAACATAAGGTCCGGGATGCCATCTCTCAGCCCCTCCGGCGTGAAATCGGCCATGATGACCACCGGTGATTTACAATTATTTCTAAACCAATTAATTAATTAATTTGTACCATTTCAATTCAGGTTCGAGCCTAGCTAGTCTTAATCAAGCATTCCTTTCGTTACGTTGTTTGTGTAATATTGATCAGCCGTGTCCCCACAGAGCTGAGCTTTGCCGAGGTTGGAGAGACCAAGGAGTTCAGCGTAACGTTTGTGAGGAGTAACGCTGGGAAGAAGGTTGTCAGCGGTTGGATCGAGTGGACCAACCCCCGGTTCACGGTTCGCTCAGTGTTTGTGGCCTCGATGGATTAATATAATGGAAATAGGTAGCAATTAAATATATCTTCATATACAAACCAACTATATATTCTCGAATGAGAAATATAATTCATAATAAAGTAGATGAATGTATCATCCAACTTTTTTTTTTTTTTTTTTTTTGCATGTGACATATGTATTCGTCTCGGAAACTTGTGAGGTTTACCTTTATAACTAGATTTGGGCGGATGCATTTCGTAAATGGTATAATCAACAATAACAATACAAGCAACGTGACCTCAACTAGTGGGTCGGTTTTCGAAAATTGAGAAAATAAAATTAGAAGCAAAAGTCAAGTATGATACATTTTTATATGGTACATAAGAGCATCCAAATTATTTAGTAATTGGAAACATAAGAAAGGATTAACTTCATAATAGTTTCCCACACCCTAATCGGTTCATCGACTAAAATCTTTAGCGAAGATACTAAACATATACCCCAAACGAAAGAGCCGACTCCTAAATAATTGTTCAAATGACAATTTCATTTACTCCTTTTTCATATAAATTATTGCATATTTTATTTTTGCCTTTTTGCATTTACTCTACCGTGAGTAGGATCATCATCTCCATCAATAATGACGTCTTCATATCCAATAATGACATCTCTATATTAATTATCAATTGTCTCTTCCTTGTTCTCTTGTATTCCGTTAGTCTTTTCTTTATTCTCCTTCAATATATGGAACAAAGGTAAAATTTACCTCATATAATTTATGAACATTTTCCCGGATTTGCTTTCTTTCGCAATAACTCATGATATGAGATTAAATTTGCAACAATAGGTATCTGAACTATCACGGGTTATAAAGACCAAAAAACCGTTTTCTGTGCGGGAAAAAGAAAAAAAAAGAATGAGGAGGGTGCTGGAAGAGAACCTCCATATAATGTTTGTTTAGATTCTCCAACTCCCCTCCTGTAAGAGCAGCCAAGTACGTAGTTAGTTATTATTAATTTATAAAAGCCAAGGTTGTATGTTACTATTCATTAGTAGCTCTCACACTCCTCCAAGTGCAAGCGGGGAAGTTCCAACCCTTTCTTTTATCTCACTCTCCATTCCACAACCTTTGTGTGTAGTTATTATTCGCTATGTTTTTGTAGCTTTTTGCACAAATCATCGCCTTTGTGTTTTGTTATTGTTCGTTAGGTTTCATCTACGGTTTTTTTCACAAATCATTGCCTTTACATTTAGTTATTGTTCGCTAGGTTTTCGTCTATGGCTTTTTACACAAATCATCGCCTTTGCCTTTCATTTTGCAGCCCATCTCGAAATACTGCCGACGCAATTCTAAGTTGTTGTAGCTTTTTGCACAAATCATCGCCTTTGTGTTTTGTTATTGTTCGTTAGGTTTTCATCTATGGTTTTTTGCACATATCATCACCTTTGCATATAGTTATTGTTTGCTAGGTTTTCGTCTATGGATTTTTGTACAAATCATCGCATTTGCCCATCATTTTGCAGCCAATCTCGAAATACTCACTACAAAAAAGACAGTCATTACCGATGACATGTGTTTCGTCGAAATTAATCAAATTGTGTCGGAAATTACCTTTTTTGATGACATACAGTCGTCGGATGTCGTCAGAAAATGTCCCATCGCTAATAAAATATTACTGACCAGTCGTCAATACAAAAATAGTATCGACAACATAGAATCGTTAATAATAAAAAAATGACATCACAATTGAAATACATCATGACGGCTGAATTTGACGAATATTTTATTGACGGCAAATTTATTCATTTCTGACGAATTATATGCGTTAATAATTAATCTTTTCTGACAAGCCGTCATAAATACTATTTATACTAACGTTGACAAATCGTTGGAAAAAATATTTGTAACGAGAATTTGAGGCCAATAATTTTTTTTGATACGTTGTACACACATTTGTGAGGTTGTTAGGGCGTCAATAATTTATTATTCTCGACGATTTAGTCAGAAATATTATTTTTACTGATGCTACCAAACCTTCGTTAGAACTATTTTTCCAACGTGTCGTCGGAAAAATTACATTTGCCGACGACAACTATTTATCGTAAAAAATAAGCTTTTTCATTTAATATTAGAATTAGAGGATTTTATTTTCATTTAAATCGCGAAATGCACAACAAGAATATTAGAGTACAAGAACAATATTCCTATTAGTACAAGAGTACAAATTATTATTAATCTTCATATTTGCATTAACAAAACTACCAATACATTCACAAACATTGATCTATAAACAAAAGACAATAATACTCCTATCAGTTCCACGCAACCCGACTCCAGCAAGGGTAGATCTATTTACAAAAAAACCTCAAATCTACTGAAATCGGCTCCCTATCCATGCCGAAGCAAATTCAATGAAAGGTTGTTGTCTATGTTCTTCTGCCATCGTCACCTTCGCTGCTGCCTGCTGGCAAAACTTGGAGCAGATAGCGCCGATCTACTATTACCTCCTCTTCGTCCGAAACCAACAAAAATAAAAAATAATTAAAAACCATATAAAGTAAAAAGTCTAAATACATGCAAATCTCAAACCAAACTTATCAGAGGGTCCTCGCCATAGCTATTTTTCTGCAGTCGGCGGCGGCATCGTTGCCAAGTGAGCTTTAATCGTTGATGCATTTGGCCGCCGGTAAGGTCTAGAATCACTGGCCTTCCCCTTTTCTTCTCCCTCGATGAAATCAAAACCGACCAGCCTACAAATCCAAATCGAAATAAAATCACAAACCAAATCGAAAGCAAATCCCTAGATGAAATTGTTACGTTGCCCGGATGCCGCCTTCTCCATCGTCGCGGTTGAAGTTTCTGACTCAGGACTAGAAAATCGAGGTCGAGGGTTGAAGGGAGGCTCGAATAGGTGTTTCCCTTTTCATTGGCCTTCACAGAACAAGAACGACGAGAGGAAATGAAGAGCGTGGTGAAGAAGATCGAGATGGAAAAGAGACGAAGGAAAAGGGTTTACTTTATTCGTTTGGTCCAATTTCCAAAAAGAATAGAAGGAAGAATGGGTGGATGGAGGCGGCTAGGTTTTAGATATATTAGGGTTTCATTTTGTTGATTTCAAGGGCTTATATACTTGATCCTTAACTTTGTCCAATACACCCTTGGACTGTTGAGATTCGTTGGGAGATTCTAGAATTACAATTATGGGTGACCTGTAATACGCATAGAGGGGGTCAATTTATTTAATTTGTTTTTAGTTTATTGGAATCAAAACTAGCCAGAGTGAGAGAAGGATACTTGACGTTTGATCTTCCTTTCACAATCCACCTATTTTAATTTTTTTTTATTTTGTTTTGCCAAAGGGAAGGGGTTTTATTATTTTAATCGGCCGGAGAGGAATGAAGATAATTATTTCATAAGTTATCAGTTATTCCGGGTGTAGTACGTGCGATTAGTCTAAAGGATGACATGAGAACTTGGACACTCCTTTGTCAAATGCAGCCACTTCTTATATTCTACAAAACTGTGATGAGATGCAACATTAAATAAGTACATCACAATTTCGTCCATTTATATTAGATTTTTTTTTAAGTTGAAGCAATTTTGTACAAATTAATTAATAATATATCTTTTAATATGTATACTATAGGATTCACAAGGAGCACTAAGCACCCGTGGTGTTCGTATGGTTGAACAAGTGCATAAGGAAGAATTTCGTAATTAGTTCTTATCAGAGGTACTTAATTATCGTATTAATTAACTACTAACAAGTTTGATATATAAATATGTAAAATAGCTTTCTAATTTATTCTTCTCTTTACAATGAAGATTACAAGAATACACAAGGAATAGCTTCGAGTTTGAATCTTTCTCTGTTACATTTAGCTTGAGCACTAGACTGATTCTCTATTTCACACTAGAGAACACGAGTCCAAGAAAAGAGTCAAGACCGTGGTGTCTTAGTGAGAGGGGAGAATCGTTAGCCGCCCGTGACTTATTTTCGAAGGTCATATTAGACACACTGATTGAGCTTAGCAAATTTTTCAAGGACATATGTTCCAAGGAGGTAAACGTGGAAGATTTGAATTACTTGGAGTCTCAAATTGCCATAATCCTATGTAAGTTGGAACGTATTTTTCCTCCTGCCTTATTCGATATAATGATCCACCTGCCCATCCATCCGCCTTGGGAGGCCAAAGTTGTTGGTCCAGTTCAGTATCGATGGATGTATCCTATTGAAAGGTATGCTATATATATAACTACACTAAAATTATTATATATACTGACATTTTGGAAACTTTGTGTAGTTAATTTGACAATTTTTAAACAATTTAGGTATTTGAAGAAGTTAAAAGGTTACGTTCGTAACAAGGCACGTATTATTGTATGCTAGAATATAATTTATGCTAGAATATAATTTATTTTAATTATATTAATTACAGAACTCACAAGGAACAACTAAGCAATCGAGGTGTTCGTATGGTTGAAGTAGTGCATAAGCAAGAATTTGCTAAGTGGTTTTTATTAAAGGTACATACATGTCATATATAATATAGAATTTTCATATTTAAAAATTACCGCAAGCTAATTTTAAGTTTATCCTTGCAATTATTTGCAGATTACACGAATGCACAATGATAAAGTG